AATACACTTTAAGAGATCTAATAAACCTAAGAGTATAAAAATTAAAATCAACAGTACAGAAAAGGGCAGGGGAGGTCTAGTGGTTAAGGTGTTTGCCTCTCAACCCAGGAATCTGGGGTTCAAGCCCAAATTGGGTTACACTGGTTTTTATTCCAAGAAGCGGACTTGAAAGTAATTAATATAAGTTGCAATAACTTGTTTCGCAATCGAACTTAAATACAAATGTTTAAACTACCAACCTTGTAATTATCAGGCAGTGGTCCTTTATTTAAACAAGTGGGGGTACTTTATAGCTCATTTCTCCACCGTTGTATGATATATGACCCAACCATTTCCTATCCTTAAATACCTGTAAGAAAATAGCAGGGCATCTATTAGTCATTTACTTCTTGATTTTTGCTTTTGACTTCCAAATTATAATGCTTTTCCTTCTCTACCTATATTATGTGATTTCCTATGTCAGACATTTTCGAAACTCTGACTTCCAAATTTTGGAACTTAATGGAAGCCCTGAAAATAGCACTAGGTTATACATACACTTCAGACAAGTTTACAGAACAGAACAGAACAGAACATACTCTTTATTCTCTCAGGTACATAAGTACAGTATGAGGAAAATAATCATAAAACATAGATTTAAGTTTGACAAAGGTGTATAAGTAATACATTGGGGGGGGGGGGAGACCGTAATAAAGTTTGAAAGTAGAACTTAATCCGTATAGGTAGATACTGTATAAAAACAAACAAAAATATGTGAAATGTAATGTAAGATTATGCCTATATTCTGATAATTACTTAAATTTGGCCATTAAGGTTTTACAAAAAATAGACAAATGCTTTAATTTGTCAGGTGATTTCATATTCAACAAACTATTAAAACAACTGTCAGTGTTTGAAACTGCAAAATTTAACTTATTGGTAAGAATTGACCGTTGATACATAAAGAAAGGGCAGCTTAATAAATAATGTTTTTCGGTGCCTAAATCATCTAGGTCACAAATTGTGCACTTTCTGTCATTGAATACTGTTCCGTCCCACCTTCCGGTTTCAACAGGAAATTTATGATTAGAAGACCGAAATTTAAACAAATTTAGTGCGTCACTATGCGGCAATAAGTTAAAATATGATTCAAATTCTAATGTGGATTTAAATGAATTATATATTTTGCCTTTATTAGAAGATTGCAAATTCCCGTACCATTGTTGCTTGTACTGATCTATTAACGTGAGTTTTACCAATGCACGTGTATTTAACGGTATATTTGTATAAAATTGATTTAACCACAGGTATGAACGGTCAGCTAAATCAAGTATTCTCTTAATGTACGAGGTCCATTTAAAAGTTGCGGTTTGACGATTTACCATATATGTATAAAGTTTAAACGATAACTTGTTATGGTCACCAGATAGTAAGCGTGTCCAAAATCCTATCATCCTGCTTTTAACTACAACTGAGATAGGATACCTTCCCAATTCACCGTGTAATATATAAATAGGTGTACTTCTACGGGCGTTTAATAGTTTGCGCAAAAAATCGTTATGAACTGATTCTAATTAACATATCTAAGTTTTCGAAGCCAAAAATTTCTGAGCCATATGTTAGAATCGGTAAGACTGATCTAATAATTTTATGCTCAAGTCAATTGGTAAGTCAGCATTTCTAATTTTAGAGAAAAGTAAAAACATTGCTTTTTTGCTGTTTGCGGGCATTAAGGAATGACCCGGAACTTCGAAATGTAACGACTAGATAATGATATGTATCTGAAAACTCGAGAATGTTATCACCAAGTTTGAATTTGTAGTTATGAACAGACCGACAGCCGGGGAAATAACTGTTGTTTTGTGCAAGTTAACTGTAAGATCCAATTCTCTATAATAAGAATTAAAAGCGTTCAGACATATTTGGAAATCCGTTGGGTCATCTGAAATAATAACGGTGTCATCAGCATACAAAAAGACTAAAAGTTTAAGCCAATTAGATTCATTTACATCGTCTTCAAGTTTTACACCGATGCCACCTGAATCTTCAATACATGTCTGTAAATCGTTAAGAAAAAGAGCGAACAAAAGAGGCGACAGATTCTCACCTTGACGGACTCCATTCATGCATGCAAAAAAAGGGGGACAATTCACCATTAAGGGAAACACAAGATTTAATGTTACTATACATATTTTGAATGACTTTTAGAACCTTACCATTGATGTTAGAATTTAACAACTTTAGCCAAAGACTAGTCCTATTTACTTTATCAAATGCCGCAGAAAAATCTATAAATGCGCAAAACAATTTTTTCTTCTTATGTTTCAAGATGTTGATTATTGAATGAAGGGTAAAAATATGATCCTGACAAGAAAATCCTTTTCGAAAGCCAGCCTGATTTACATTAAGAATATTATTAGATTCTAAATATTTAGTTAATCTGCAGTTAAGTATTGAGGTAAACAATTTCCCAAGACAACTAAGTAAAGTTATGGGCCTATAATTGGATGGTTCTTTTGGATCACCTTTGTTTTTGAATAATGGAACGATATCTCCATTAAGCCATGATGAGGGCATATAACCTGTGTCTAAAACAATGTTAAAAAGTTTTTTGTAAATCGGTAAAAAAATATCCTGTGTATTTTTTATGTATTCTGTAAGTATATTATCGACAGGACTGCATGCTTTACCATTCTTAAGACAATTTATGTTTCTTATTATTTCGTTCGTGGTGATTTGGGAATTTATTTCTTCGTTAAAATTATTTTGTTGCATTGGATTTGCACTAGAGGACAAGGAGCCCGTACAAGATAGTCCCTGTATCAAGAATATTAGTTAGGGCTGTATAAAACATAAACATTTAATCCCAATTAACAAATATATACAAAATCATTAATTAAGTAGGTGGCCAGAAACATAATGGATCTTAGGTATGTGAAATTTATGACTATCATAGCTTTTAATCTTTTGTTTGAATATGTGCAAATTGTTTATCTTGTTTTTCTTTCCATGTTATGAAAATTAACAGTGTTGCAGAGTTAACAACCTTTTTTCACAGGTAATTGCTAATTTTTCAAAACGCTTACCAGGGCAAAAAAGACTATGCCAAAAAGGGAATATAACTCTGCCAAATACGAGTATAATTCCAGGATTGTCTGCCCTTGTGATATGGTGTCGCCTGTATAACCAAATACACCAAGTTTGGAGTGAATAGGTTCAATAGTTTCCAAGAAAATGGACCTTAACTTATTACAGGTCACAGTGACCTTGACCTTTGACCCCAAAATCAATACAACAGATTGACCTCACCCAGGTCACATATTAAGTTTCAAGGATATAGCTTTTTCAGTGATAAAAATAAAATGACTGGTAAACATAAACTTTTCCATAGAGTTTAACCAATGCCAAAAAGTCTATCATGACAATGTTTCCACAATTGTTCATTTCAAGTGAAGTTAAAACAACTATTGAAGAATTCTACAGCATAATCACATACCTGAAAGTTTCGTTGTCTCCATTCACCAGTTTCAGGATTAAACATATACTGAAAGCGAAAATACAATTATAACAAAAAAATATGTTGATGCAAAATCATTGGTGTTACAAAATGTATACATATATGTTGACATATATGAGAAAATTACTTAAATTCACAAACATCTAGCAGTCACAATGATTTATCTATGACACCAATATGATCTCAGGTCAGCTTGCATGCTGAACAGTCTTTTTCTCTCTTTTTTTTTTGAAGCCCCAACTGGGTAACCCCTGATACCTTACATGATATATACGTATATAATATACATGCCGGACATTCTTTAAATCAGACTTTATCCTGCTAGATGCTTAATTTTACATTTTGAAAACTATATCCTTTACAACGGTAAAAATACAAATTCGCATCTTCTCAAGATAATGATAAACACTATCAATAATGAGAAAAAATATGGCATGCTTCTTAATGCAATCTTCACCTTTGTGCAAATTTCATACCTTTAATTGCTTCAAGCTTCATATTTTATAACAAACAAACATCATTTAGTAAAAATGAATTATTCAAATATTTAAACTTCTGAGATGAAATCATGAAAAGAAGACACTTAATGTTATATTCCAACCTGAGGTAGAAGCTTCCAGCCTTCCTCTGCCACCAGTTTTACAGCCTCAAGGCTGTATTCTAAACTTTCTTCATCCAGAAAATATGGGACATTTATCCTTGTAAATCCAGGCCTGAAAGATAATTAAAAACTCATACATAATCACCTTCATAATCACTTCGATCAACATAAAAAAATCACAAACTCATATCCTGCATAAAGTGACTCAAATTTCTAGTCAGAAGAATAACACTTTTTTCATTTAAAACCATTACTAACTTTTTTCAAAAAAAAAAAAAGAAAACAAAATGGGTTTTTTTAATTCAAAATTTTTTAAATTTAAATTCAAAATATGTAATTAATCACATACCCGTGCTGCTTTTATGACAAGGTCGTGCATATTTTGATGTGACATCATTTGTGTTATACAAACATAGTGTAAAGATGTGCTAAATGCAAGTTACACTGCAGGACTGGTGGTCAATGAAAAAAATGAATCTTTTTCACTTCAAACAGTCTTATTTTGGGTATGTGATAAATAAAATATTATATTTGTGTACGTTCATTACTGAATTTATTGACCTCCTCTATTTATTTACGTGAAAATAAGTAGGATAAATTTATACCTAAGAATTTCCCTCTGTGAATATTCCCTGTACCTTCTTAAATGTGCTCTATCCAGTCGACTGTAATCAGAAAAGTTACATGATTATCAAATGCATTGAAGTATTAATTAAATAAACCAAAGATTAAAAATGTCTTTGAGATATTATAACAAGAATAAAATGTCATATTAAAAGTAAATGAAAATCAAATTTTCATTTACTTATACTTGTAACATTAAGATATTGAATTTTAATAACAATTCACATAGAGCTTATCTTAGAAGTATTTAATAATATTGCCAATGATTTTATACCTAGAAACATGTTTTTTGTTTGTTGGATTTTTCATTACACCAGGTAGGTCATAGGTCATATGGCGACTTCCAGCTTTACTGGTGGAGGAAGACCTCAAGTGCTCTGTGCATTATTTCAGGCACAAACGGGCACCTAAGTAGAACCACAGACGTCCAATCAGCTAGCTGGATAGCTTCCTCACATGAAAGAATTCAAAGTCTCTTTCCCCATTTCGAACCCAAAGTGGTGAGGAGCAAGTGCTTAAAAGTCAACTGCCTTAACCAATTAATTGGCCACAAACACCTCATACAATACAAATTTTCAATTCAGTAGTATAGGTATAATTTTTACTTATATTTCTCACCTGTCTTCAGCCAGTAGATGCTCAAACCTCTCACTGACCTCTTCCTCCATTCCTAACAAGTCCTGTATACGTAATAATCATGTTAACAATACAATTAAACCAAATCAACTTTACCATATCTGGATATCATTGTAAAAAGTTAATACTGTTTATATTATTTGACAACATAGTGTTTACCTAAAATACTGTCCTTTATAGTGTTATTTTACTTAGTAAAACACAATTTACTGATGCCAAAATTTTGCATTGAATGGCTTAATAGTTTTGTTTGTTTGTTTGTTTCATTTTACGCCTTTTCCTAACAGTATTTCAGTCATATAGGCGGGTAGTTTCCTAACCATCGTTCCTGGAGAGTTACACCAGTACTAGACTACCTTCCTCCGTGCTAAAGCATCTCCAGGGGATCGAACCCACGCCAGAGAGGTAACTGGATTAGAAGTCATCGACACTAACCCCTCGACCACAGAGGCGGTGGAATGACTAAATAGAGATCTATTTTGAACACATAAATATGATCCTTTCTAGTAAAATACATTTTGCATTATTCATCAAAAGTTTAAGCTGACTACTGATTCCCCTATGCTCCCTTTTTTAATATCTAAAATAAGTATAGAATATTGGTTCTTTCCGTTTTATTTCCATAATTTTAATCAATAAAGTACAGGAAAATGGTGCCCACTTTTGTTTCTTTTAAGCAATGTACAGATGACTAATACACTTGTTTTTTTTTACATTATTTGTTTAAGTAAATACAGTACTGGTATTCTTTTTACATTTTGCACAATTTGATAGTTTTACCACAAATGATGCTTGGCTCTGTACAGATGGAATGCCACATTGTCATTGAATTACCCATTTACCTACTGGAACCAAAAGTGACATGCCTTTTTCACTAGTATAGAGCCAGACCAGCCTGAATAACAATCAAGTAGTCTGACCAGGCTTTGTACCGATATAAACACAATCAGGTAGTCTACCTAGGTTCTGTACTGACAGTAACACAATAATGTATTTTGATATTGAAAAACTTTAAAAACATTTCTCTGCCTGCCCACTGCCCCACATTCACCATACTTACCAGGGTTTGCGCATTGTGCATCCCGGCCAAAAATTGAAAGGACTGTAGGGTAAAATCCATAAATAAAAATTCAACAGATTAAAGATAAAAACCGTTGCTCAAAATCTAGGAAAGCATTTTTTTCTATTTGTATGAAACTTGTATGAAATAGAATACTACCATAGCATATGGACCAGCACATGCACATCCTCCTCTAACCTGGATCCCAAACAAATCATTGAGCAATGTACTGACATAATTATGATGTAGGAACCTGCCAGATTGTTTATGATACACCATAAATGAGAAGAAAGAAAGACGAGGTGCGTCTATGTTGCCTAGATTGATCAAAGTCGGATGGTCTTTCCATACTTCTCTCGCTTTCCTGCAAACATAAACAAAACAAGGAGTCTTGTTACAATATATCAGAAAAGGAACATTATCAGTAAATGTTAAGTGAAGTCTTATACAGTGAAGCTTTGCTAATCCGAACTCTTCTAATCCGTAATCGTTCCTAATCTGAACAAAATGTCCAGTCTGGATTTTATTCATTCTATTTTTAATAGTAAAAATCCTTTCGGATCGGAAACCTGTCTTTTCCGAATTCCTGACGATTTTTTCAAATTTTGTTCTTGTTTTACTCTAAAATTAAGCTCCTGGATTCGAACATTGTTTGCCGATTGTCACACCTACAGCCTATACTTTCATTCAAAATGAAGATATCCCACATCTTGCTTGCAGGTGTAAACATACATCAAACTGGTGAGAGTAATGCAGTTTGATTAATGGGTGAAATCTATGATTTGCAAAGGTGTGAAAATTACACTTCGCTTGTTTTCATATCAACTATAACAGCCTTATTGATTGATTTGTGGCATGTTCCATAAATATGTCCATATTATGCATTCACAGAACTTTTAATTTTTTGTAATAAATTTAATGACATATATGGGATTGAATAACGTCAATTAAGGGAAACTGTTAAGTGCATTCTGATAACAGCCAAATCATGTGAGAAAACAACAATGCCTGTACAGATATTTAATCATGTTAAACATCGTAGTGTAGGACTTATATACCCTTGAGGACAATTTTTTTTTCATGTGTATTAAAATGAGCGATAAGAGTTTATAAGTTTGTAAAAATAAAATATTTATGTTGCAATTTTATATGCATCCTTAAACTTTTCTGCCCCTCTCATATACTATTATGCAAAAAAAATCCGGAAACCTTTCTAATCTGAAATTATCTTCTGGTCCGGATGAGTTCGGATTAGACAGGTTCCACTGTAACAATCAATGCCAGAAAATTTGCAATCATTTTGAAAATGATAGTAAAATAACTTGTTAAACTAATTTTTGATGTACTAATACATATTTAAACAAGAACGTGTTTGTATATCACAAATGCCAGGTACTTGTCAGTAATAATATTTTAAAAAAAGGTTTACCCATTCACTCAATAATAAACAGAAAAATTGCCCCCAAAAAATGTAAACAGATTAGTAAATACAGTAATATACTGGTTTTGGTCGTATCAATACAAAGGCTAAAACTTTTGACTGAAAACAAAGCAATTGATTGATTCAACCTCAGAACAGACTTCACATAAATTAATCAACCAGCACTTAAACTGCTTAAAATGTTGTCAGTCAATGAACAGCACATGAGGTAAATGATTATGTTCTATTGAATATATTCATTAAATTATGACAGTTTTGAAATAGATACATGATATAACAAGTTAGTTATATACCTCAGCATGTATTCCTCTCTCTGCATTATAACAGCAGGTGTTACAGACTGAAATAGCTGAAATACAAGCCCAGCTCGTATAGATTGCACTATGGCGGGTGTACCCCCTTCCTCCTTCAACTCCGGTTCTTGTAGGTAACGATGCTGTTCTCTCCTAACCTGTAAATATAATATCAGTAATAGCGAAAGAATTTTAAAAGATAAACAATATAAACTTACAAAAAAGTTCTAGTGTTCCGTGTTATACATCTTTTCTACGTGTCATACCTCCTTTCCATATTACAATGAATTTTTACTGGATTGTTATCCATCGTTGGTTTGTTTTTAGCAGAGAGTGGCCTGTGCATGTACAAAGAGGGTACCGTTTCAGCAGATTTCGCAAAGAGGGTACCGATATGGATATGCACCGTGTAATATTCTGGTCGGTCTATGTAGAGGTGCAATGATTCAATCTAATGCATCGAAAACTGTTTTGTGGGTGCCGATTCAATTCTGATGTCAAATACAACAATCATAAGTTGCAGGGGACTAATATACTGGTCAGTCTATGTACCCCAAGACTACCCCAAGACCTAGACTAAAGGTTTTCCAATTAACAAAATATATAAGTTACTTTGGGTGTTTTGGGTTGTCTTGGGGTAAATTTACAGATCTCTAATATTCCCTAGATTTGTAGTCACTTTGACAGCACATTTATAACAATGACTGTTTGTTAGTTTTTGTCTTTCTAGCAAGAAATGTATTGTGTTGAAGTTTTATCTAATCCTTGTTACGTAAATGTAGTTGGTTTAAGTTTCAGTCCCAAAAAAATGTGAATTTCTATCATATTAGGAAGTTCTCTGGCTTGTGTAAAGTTGGTCATTGAGATGTCATTTTATTCTACCTTGTGCCTTGACTCATACTGTGACAGTGAGAGGCTCTCTTTACTGGGTACTATAAAAGTTAACAGCATGTTACATAGTAGTGTCAGTATTAGTGAAAAATTAAATAAATCCAATGAATTCTTTGTTTAGGAAATAGAAACTAAGTATTCATACAAAATGTTGCATATATATATTTTGGA